ATGAAAGTTGGAAGACATGATAAACGTTGCCGTTGTCCGACACCGCATGTCAGACAGGCAGACAGAATGCTGAAAGTAATTTGTTCAGTGTAAAAATGAGAAATTCATAACAGAGAGAGTGAAAGGATCGACAGATATTAGGAGAGCAATGTTGAAGGCACGATTGTCAGTTTCACATTGCCTCAGCGTGTTGGGTAGTACGATCCAGGAGACAGGAGACACTCACTGGGAGACGATTAGAAAGACATGCAGTTCTATGGTGAACCATCAGCACATTTACTTTTACTTTACGGTGGTGGGCTCCTTGGAGGGGATAAGCCGGGTTCATAAATATCCAGGATTGACGCNCGCCGGGTGATCTGCGGGGAGAACAGTGCAGATTGTGATCCAGCTTGACTTTCATTGGCGAATGCCGTATACGGAGCAGAGACTGAAATCTTCCATATCCTTGTGTACCATGTCCAGCTAGGTTTTCAGCTGTCCATCAGATCGATAGCACTAGATCGGATAGGGAGGTGGTGCTAAGGGAAATTCGGTCAGGTTGTTAGCAGATTTTTGAATTGTTTGGCTAAACCATTTGTAATTGTCGCCGCTGTATTAGCGTTCGCAGCTGTATAAAATAAAATCATCGGTTCCTGACCGTTTCAACTCAATACTGAGCCCTCCATCGCACTCCCAGAGTGATGCTTAGACACCAGTGATCGGAGATTTCTAATCATCGATAATAGACGATTATGATTGGCCAGATTTCACACTTGTGTAGCAAGACCAGACAGATCACTGCGGAGAAAATAAATCGTATTTTTGTCTTTAGGCTGATTTCATTTCTACACCCGATACGATGGAATGCAATTGCAATCACGTGATTGGTGCTTGGTATAAGTTCCGGAAAGGATAATTTTCCAAGGGCATATGATCGGTTTCTGTGTTCATTTTATTGTGGAAAAATGACTACGGAAATACCTCGTTTTTTTCGGGGGTTCAGCTCGTTGGGCATGGTTCGAGCACCACTCATTGAGTTGAACACTGAAGTTATCTGTAGTCATTTGGAAGAGGACGACAATTCTCTGTGTGTGTGTGTGTGTGTGTGTGTGTGTTATTCAGGTGGACTTGGCGGTTTCTATTCACTTCCCAGTGATTATAGCGCGTACTGGATTTCTACGGTCAGTATTTTTGGTTTAATTATCACCAATGTCAATGCTCCTACCGCTTTTAGCAATTACTCTGTCAATTTTCTTAATCATGATGAAGATAAAAAAACATTCAGCCTCTTGATATAGAGGCGAATGAAGTAGACGGATAGACAGACAGACAGACAGACAGAGAAACAGACAGAGGTTCTATATGGAAATTTATTTGCTAACGCGTCTTCATTGATTACGTGCGTTTCGCTGAATCGGTGAACGTGAGCTGCCTGCAGTTCGCTATCTTGTATTTCGTCGGCTGGCAGAAACCCTGTTGTAATGCAGGCGAAATATCGCCGTAGGCGGAGTGACGAACAGCCGTAGACAGTTGTATCTGTTTTACCTTTCGATTGATAAGTGTGATTCACAG